CATGGCTCTGCCTCAAGTGCCCTGTCAATGATGCCGTGAAGTGTATGCTCCAGCAGGAACACAAGAGGTACAGTGTCACTGATGCATGCATTGTCACAGCTCACTTTTCTTGTGCCATACTCAGACAGTTACTTATTAATAGCCCTGTCTAGAACATGCAGCCGCTGCAGAATGTTCAGTGTCGAGTTCCACCTAGTGGGGATGTCACAGATCAGGCAGTTTGCAGACAGATGGAAACACCAGCTGGAAAGGTCCATCTGAAATAGCTACAAACACTTCCATGGAAGATCTTGTAATCCAGAGTACCTATCCAGGAACTGCTACACCATTAGATTTTGGACATTCACCAGGCATGGCACGTATGTCAACTCTGATGCCAGAAGACTGACAGCACCGCTGAGCCTGCCCCTGCAGAGCTGAAGAATCTCTTCCCCAGTGTGATGCCTGTCTCCCTAGGCCCCAGCTGCAGCACTGCATGACATCTTTTTGCCTGAGTTGGTGCATAACCTTTTGATTGCTTAGGAGGGACTGGTGGGTCAGAGGACAAATTAGGGGAAGAGGGCATTGAGGAGATGGAGGGGACAGCCCTGACACTTTCAACACCAGCTCTAAGGATTTGGGGCAGCAGAACTAGCTCCAGCAGTGAGCTTCTTCTTGCATTCTTCCTGGCTGCCAGCAGAGTTGGGGATAGGAATAGGAGTAGCTGGAAGAAGGAAGAACACAGCCCTTTTTCTTATGTGAAGCTTTCTGGTGCTGTTCCCAATGATCTGTGTGTTGACAGGTGAGATTTTTTTCATGCATGAGGTAGCCAAATGCCTGGTCCTTGATCTGCTTGAGGCAGAGACTGCAAATAACATTGGTGCAGTCTGCTGCACATGTGCTGACCGGGGGACAACTGTGCTCTGTACCCTAGGACCTCTGCCATCCGGTTGTCTACTCCTTTGAGTTCTTTGTCAGCTGCCCCTTGGGGACATCCTGCTTTGTTGGTATTGTGCTTCTTCTTCACTTTCCTCCTCTGTTCTGTAGGGTTCCCAGGTACTGTTAGAGACGTCATCATCGCTCTCGTTCCCTCCATAATTAAAGCCAACTTGCCTTGTATGAACATCACTGCCACTTGGTTGTTCATGACTGGTGTCTTCTCCCTCTTGGCTCCTGTTACTTTCCTCCTCAACTTCAGAGCCAACATCAGAGCCAATGAATTGCTTCAAATCTTCTTGCAGCAAGTAGCTGATCCTATTCAAGGTAGCTGTGCACAAGCAGTGAAAATATGCATCTTTGGCAGTTATGGTGGACTGTGAGCTTGTCTGAGCCTGGGTGACAGAGGAGGAGGACGGCTTGGTTACCCACTCCACCAAATTCCGTTTGCGGATAATAAACTATGTTGACGATCACCACTTTGGCCTGTGGATGCAGAGGCTGAATGGGAACCGCTGCCTTTCCATGTTGGCCTACCAGACATGGCGCCATGCTTATTCAAGAATGGTATTTACAGCTAATGGAAGAGCTGTATGGTAATGAGGGAGAAGTGGTGCTTGGGTGTACTGTAAGCTCTGCTGCTTGGGTGTACTAAACACCTCAATGAAATGCAGTGCTTTACTACCTGTTGTGGTGAAAACAATTCACACTGCTGTTACCCCTGTAAATAAATATATATACACACACATAAAATAAAAAAAAAACAGCTAACAACTAAAGAAATAACCCCAAATACCCACCCAAAAACACTAAAACCAAACTAAAGCTGTTTTTTTAATTCTTATTTTTTTAATTAACCACTTGCGCGCCTGAGGATTTACCTCCCTTCCTGACCAACCAATTTTTTGTGTTCTGGCGCTGTGTTAATTTTACTGACAATTGCGTGGTCATGCAACACTGAACCCAAATGAAATTTGTCCTTTTGTTCCCACAAATTGAGCTTTCTTTTGGTGGTATTTGATCGCCTGTGTGGTTTTTATTTTTTGCGCTATTTAAAAAAAAGCTTGAGAATTTTGAGGAAAAAAACAATATTTTTTACTTTTTATTATTAAACATGTCCAGTAAAAAAATTTAAAAAATCTAATTTCGTCATAAATTTAGGCCAAAATGTATTCTGCTACATGTCTTTGCTATAAAAAATCCCAATACGTGTAAATTAATTGTTTTACGTGAAAGATATAGAGTTTACAAATGGTGGTATATAAACTGGAATTTTTTTTTTTATGGTATTTTTTTATTTTTACTAGTAATGGCGGAGATCAGCGACTTATAATGGGACTGCGGCAGGCATTCTGACATGGGGGGGAACTGGGTTGGAGTCACTGACATCCCCAGTGACACCAATACAATGATCAGTGCTAAATAAAGCACTGACACTGTACTAATGGCACTGAGCAGGAAGGGTTTAACATGAGGGGGCGATCAAAGGGTTAACTGTGTGCTGTTTCACAGCAAGCTTCTGTGTGTGCTTCACTGTAATCACAATGCTTTGGATGGCTGTGCTGTGCATCCAAAGCCATCCAAAGCAGTGTGCATGAGCTCACAGGGAGGAGAATTATATTTACATACAGTTCTCTTCCCCGTCAGAGATCCTCGGCAATCACCGGAGGCCGGCGAGTAATCATCGGCCAGGACCCGGTGATTGACAACCACAGCCGCGAATGGCGGCACAGGTAGGGAGCACGCGCCACTTACCTGGAAATGGAAAATCACGTATATATACGTGATTTTGTGCACCCGTGGCGCCCTGTAGCAGTGTATCTGCTATAGGGCAGTCGGGAAGCAGTTAAAGCAATATGCCTTGAAAACAGAAAATGCACAATAAAACAAATGAGGAGCAAATGGGCAGGAACTGGAGTCAATGTCTTTGACTGAACTGTAAGACATCACCTAAAGGAAATGGGATTTACATAAAAGCCAAACAAAAACCATCATTACACCTAAACAGAAAAAAACTAGATTACAGTGGGCTAATGAAAAGCAATCATGGACTGTGGATGACTGGATGAAAGTGATATTCAGTGATGAATCACAAATCTGCATTGGGCAGGGTGATGATGCTGGATCTTTTCTTTGGTGCTGTTTGGTGTTCTTGCATTTCCTCTACCCAGATATACGTGATTTTGCACACCCGTGCTGCCCTGTAGCAGTATATCTGCTATAGGGCGGTCAGGAAGCTGTCAATTTTAATAATTAAAATTATTAGTACAGTTTGTATTATTTTTTTTTTTTGCTTTAACCACATGCCGCCCAGCCACTGTAGAAATACGTTGGCAGGGCGGCACGGCTGTTTTCAAAACAGGTAGGGGGCATGCACGAGGCGCGCCGCCGTCCTACCTGTCCCACCGATCACGGCCGCGGATGTCAGTCGCTGGGTCACAGCCGGTCGTTACCGGCTGTGTCCCGGCGATTAGCGGCAATCACTGACAGAGAGCAGGGCTGCAGTAGCTCTGCTCTCTGTCAGTTCCCTGACAGGCTGATCAGGAGAGAAGAGTTTCTCTCCCGATCAGCGCTTCCCTGTGCAGTACACACCCCTGCCCCCTAGTAAAACACTCCCCTCATACAGTTAACCCTTTCACTGAATAATAAAGTTAACCCCTTCCTCCCCAGTGCCATTAGTACAGTGTCAGTGTTTTTTTTTTTTTGCACTGATCACTGTATTGGTGTCACTGGGGATGTCAGTGACCCCAAGTCAGTTCCCCCCAGTGTCAGAATGTCCGCCGCAGTCCCGCCATAAGTCGCTGATCGCCGCCATAAGTCACTAATCGCCGCCATAAGTCGCTGATCGCCGCCATTATTAGTATAAAAAAAAATTAAAAAAATCCCAGTATCTTTCCCGCCATTTGTAAACGCTATAACTTTCACGTAAACCAATTAATTTACACGTATTGGGTTTTTTTTTTAGCAAAGACATGTCGCAGAATGCATTTTGGCAGAAATTTAAGACTAAATTTGATTTTTAATTTTTTTTTTTACTGGACATGTTTTATAGCAAAAAGTCCAATTTTTTTTTTTTCTCAAAATTGTCAGCATTTTATTTTTTAGAGCACAAAAAAAAAAAAAAAAACGCACAGGCGATCAAATACCACCAAAAGAAAGCTAAATTTGTGGGAAAAAAAGGATGTAAATTTCATTTATGCATTGCATGACCGCGCAATTGTCCGTTAAACTAGCACAGCGCTGTATAGCAAAGAAATTGCGTAAATTGCAGTATCTATACCATAGTTTGTAGACGCTACAAACTTATACACTTACTGGGATTTTTTTTTACCAAAAACATGTAGCAGAATACATTTTGGCCTAAATTTATAACTAACTTTGAGTTTACTATATATTTTTTATAGCTGAAAGTAAAAAATATTGTTTTTCTTCAAAATGTTTGGTCTTCAAATACCACCGAAAGAAAGCTCTATTTGTGTGAAAAAAAGGACGTAAATTTCGTTTTGGGTGCAGCATTGCATGACCGCGCAATTATCAGTTGAATTAGTGCAGCGCCAAGTAGCAAAAAGAGGCCTGGTCATTAAGGGGGGTAAATCCTCAGGAGGGCAAGTGTTTAAGGAAAAAAGTGAAAACAACCTGCTATTACCAAAAAGCTAAGAAACACTTTAAAATGTAAAGACAAAAAAAAGAAAAAGTAAAACAGCAGTGACACAGTGACAGAACTGGCCCCTGACAAAATGTAAAAACAAATCCTTAAAAGGGATTGTTGGGTCTGTTTAAATTGCAAATTGCAATGAGTGCTGGTGGGCGTACACTTTACTCTCCCTAACAACAGAAACGGTGGCAATTAACTGCAAAGTATCAATAGCAAATACTGTATATACCACTGTATTTAGCAGAATACTGAGAAAGCATGTTACACTAACCTGCCTTTCATTTAAACCATGTCAGCTGTCCCTCACTCACACTAAATCCAATAATACACTAACAAAAGGCTGCTGAGGAAACAGCCTTTTATATTACGTGAGCTGCAACTTCACTATGAACTAACATCGGCCAAAGTCTTGCACTCGACCAGAGATCAGGTACACTGTACACCTTTAATTTAAATGCCCTTGGAGTCTGCTGGGAAGAGAAATAATACTGTCAGTCAGTATGACATGCAGATGAGTTCCGTCGATCTTAGAATCACCGCACACTTCACTCATTTGGCCAGTCACGGGGCCAAAACCAGTGTTTGGAGCCACAGTGTGGCGGTGGAGGCAGCAGCAATGGGAGGCCAATACAGCAACCTATGACAAAATGGAAACCAGCAGGAGTGTGAGGAGAACCTCAAAGTGGCACATGGCAGAGTGGGAGCAATGGGAGGCGCTACAGGGACCCATGTCACACTGTGGACCCAGCAGCAAGCGTGACGAGGCGGGTATGGGGGCCCATTGGCAGATTTGGGGCCTGGCAGCACCTATGGGCGGCCTGAAATCTGCCAGCAACCTCTGACAAAATGGAAACAGCAGGAGTTGTGAGAGACCCTCAAAGTGGCACACATGGTCAGAGTGTGGAGCAATGGGAGGCCGTAACAGGTGACCCATGACAGACTCTGGACTTGGCAGCAGCATGAGTAGGCGGTATAGGGCCCATGGCAGATTAGGGGCCCTGGCAGCAGCTATGGGAGGTCCCGTAATCTGCCAGCACCCTATGTCAAAAAATTCAACACAACCAGCATGTGAGGAGACCTGAAAAGTGGCACATGGCAGAGTGTGGTGATGGAGACAGCAGCAATGGGAGGCCGTACAGGGACCCATGACCGACTCTGTGGAGCCTAGGCAGGCCGCATGATGGTAGTGCTGTATAATAGGGTGGCCTATGGCATAATTAGGGGGCCGGAGCAAGCCTGAAGCTATAGGGAGGCCCGTAATCTCTGCCAGCACCCTTATGTCAAAAAATTAAACCAACACCAGCATGTGTGGAGGAGACCTGAAAAAGTGGCACCTGGCAGAGTGTGGCGATGGAGACAGCACAATGGTGAGGCCGTACAGGACCCATGAGAAGACTCAGGACCTGGCAGCAGCTAATGAAGGAGTGGCCCCGGTACAGGTTGCCCAAGCATATTAGGGGCCTGCAGCACTATGGGAGGCCCGTAATCATGCCAGCACCCTATGTCAAAAAATTCAACACACCCAGCAGTGTGAAGAGACCTGAAATGTGGCACATGCAAAGTGGGGCGATGGAGACAGCAGCAAGGGAGGCCGTACGGGCCCCAGAAGACTCGGACCGGGCAGCACATGAGAGGGGGAAAATTAGGGGCCTAGGCAGATTAGGGCCTCACAGCTATGGGAAGGCCCAATCTGCCAGCCCCTTTATGTCAAAAAAAAAAACACACCAGCAGTGTGTGAGAACCAAAAGTGGACATGGCAAGTGGGGCGAGGGAGACACAGAAAGGGGACCCTACAGGGACCCATGAAACCGGGGCCCTGCAGCAGCATGAGGAGGGGTAAAAAGGGGGGGCCTTGGGAAATTTAGGGGCCGGGCAGCAGCTATAGGGGGCCCCTAATCGCCACCCCAAATGTAAAAAAATTTAAACCACCAGCAGGTGTGAGGAACCGAAACGCACATGGCAGATGGGCGATGGAGACAGCACAAGGGGAGCCGACGGGGACCCATAGAGCCCCTGGACCGGCAGCAGCATGAGGGGGCGGATGGGGGCCCTGGCAATTAGGGGCCGGGCGCACATAGGAGCCCGTAATCTGCCAGCACCCTAGTCAAAAAATTCAACACACCAGCAGTGTAGAGCCCCTAAAGTGGCACAGGGCATAGACCTGTGGACCGGCGCAGCATGAGGAGGCGGAGGGGGGGCCCAGGGCAGATTGGGGGGCCGGGCACAGCTATGGGAGGCCCAAATCCCCCCAAACCCTATGTAAAAAAATTCAACACACCAAGTGTGTGAGGAGACCTGAAATTGCACATGGCAGAGTTGGCGATGGAGACAGCAGCAATGGGGGCCGTACGGGGACCCATGAGAACCGGGACCGGCAGCGCAGAGGAGGGGGTATATGGGGGCCATGGCCCGTTTGGGGGCCGGGCAGCAGCTATGGGAGGCCCTAACTGCCAGCACCCTATGTCAAAAAATTCAAACACCGCTGTGAGAACCTGAAAGTGGCACAGGCATAGACACGTGGCCCCCTGGCAGCAGCATGGGGAGCGGTACA